TTCTTGCTTTCGTTCTGGCTTTATTTTTCCTTAAATAAGCTCCCATCTTTCTTTATATTTTCTTATTTCCTTTTTGCATTCCTTTTTTATCCATTCCGGTGTCTCTCTCTTCTCTTTCCCTGTTCTCTTTCCTTATGTCTTTTTTTCTCCTTAACCCTATCCTGCGGTTTCCCCCCCTTCCTCTTATGTTTCCACCTTGTCTCTTCTCTTTTTGCCCGCTTTTCTAAAACATTTTCCAAGTGCTCACAATGAATAAGTCGATTGGGAATAGGTCTCCACCTTCTTTGCACTGATTTCTTCATATCCTTCCCTTTTTTCTCACCTTCTTTTCTCTTCTCCCTTTTGCTCTTCCTTTCTCTTTCTTTTCTTTCTTCCCTCACTGTGCCTTGTCGTTGTCTCCCCTCTCTTCTGCTTCCATCCTTGTATCTTCTGTTCAGCCTTTACCTTAACAAAATATTTTTAAAATACCTACAGCAATCCTACCATAGGCATGGACATGTCCTTTCTTTGGCAACAGATCTCATTTCTCTTTCCTACCACCTTCCATCCCTCTGGAGAGAAAATACCTTTCTCGCTGATCTCCCGCTCCTGCACCTCTGTCTTCCCCTCCCTTCACCATCAAGGCCACACTCTTCAGCCTCCAGCCCTCTCAAGGACCCAGCAAGAACACACCAAGGCACTCAGATGGCAAACAACAGCTCTGCTACATCACAACACCTTCCACCACCCTCTCTCACACAACCTGAAGCCAGAGCTACTGAGACATCTGTGCAAACAGGCTGGAAAGGAACCAACACACCCAGGCGAGTTTCTCATTCAGGAACTCAAACCCATCACAGCCCAGCACCACAATCCTCCACAAAGACTGAAAAAGCACTGGGCAAAACTGCTCCTCAGGGCTCTTCATGTACCTCGATCCTTCCTGACTCACTCTCCACCTGCAGGCTGTCCTTGCCTTCTTCTTCAGGCAGGCACTCCCTGCCACAACAACACACCAGAACCTCAGTATCTATGAGCATTAATGCCCAGGAAATCCCTCACTCATCAGCACGATCCACTTGTCACACAGTCAGACAAAAGCCGGGAAGGAAACACCACAGCACTGTCACTAAGAACATCCCCTTGACCCCAACACATCTCTTTGGGGAAAGGGATTTTGGTCCCTCCTCCAGCCCTGCTGGCTCTCACCCACTCAGGCTGGGCCTGGAAGCAGCACAAAAGGTACCCGAGCAGGAAATGGTGCTTTGTTGGTCCCATAGGATCAACACTGTGTTGACTCAACATAAAGATGCCACAACTGAACAGGAGCTAATGCACACCAGTCTCTCCAACACACCCATTTCAAGTGTGCAACTTACCTGCAGCGCCACCGGTTCCTTCTTCCAAAAACAAATATTTTCGGGGGAGGGGGGGGTGGGGGTGGGGGGTGGGGGTGGGGGGGGGGGGGTGGTGTTTGGGGGGGGGGGGGTGGGGGGGGTGGGTGTTTTTGTGGGTGTGGGGGGGAGGGAAATAGATTTAAAAGGATATTTGTAATTAACATTATCAGTTCCTGGGGAAGCTGGACAAAAGCAGTTACTCATGTTCCTCACAAACTGGAGAGTGTACAGTGCCCTTATGTATTTTTCTCACAGGGGAAGGAGGAAGCAGAGCTGTAAGCTACGGACATTCTCTCAAAGTGAAACTTAGCTCAGGACACACAACAGAACACACATCCCCCACACCGATGGGAAATGGCCCAAATGTCTGACACACTGCCACTGAGAGAGGAAATCAACCAACCAACCAACAAAACCACCAAAACAAACTCAAAGCTTTGGCAGTTTGGCACAAGAGAGGAGAAAAACAAAGGACCTGTTCGGCTGCAGTGAAACACAATTTTTTGGCAAAATCTTGAACACCAAGACCAATCCTTCCCCTGCCTATCAATATTAAGAGCAGAGAGGTAATCAAGGAAAGGTTTAGAAAAGGCTTGACAGCATGATCCAAATTTCAAAGAGCTTCTGTTTGACCAACAACATTCCACATCAAAACCAAGAAAGTAAGACACACACAGCAGATGTTTTACAAGCAGCAACACCAGAAACAACTGTACCCTGAGATACTCAGAACATCTGGAGGTCCTGACAGGATCCCAGGAGAGCAGCACTGTGTGCTGGGACCCTTCCTGAGGTATTCCATTATAATCTTCCATCTTGCACCCTGCGAACTGGGATCTCCACAGCTAAGCAGACATTCTCCTTTTCATCCCCAATGACCTTTCCACATCCTCACCTTCTCTCATGACTGGCACAAAGAATACATGGAATGCTGCAAACCCACTCTGGGACTCTTTGACTCTTCCCACATGCCAGGATGCTTTCTGCCTTTGCAGCAATGTCAAATACAATTCGAGTGCTTAAATATTCTGTGATTAGAGGCGTGAACAGCTCTGACCAATGTCCCCACAGATTGTCTTCTTCAAGAAGACCAAACCAAACAATGAAGCACAAGTGCAATCAAAGTGTCAGTGGGGTAGAAGAATTTCTACCACAGAAATTTCTACAAAGCTGGGCTGCTCTGTAGATGTGGAGGTTTGGTGTGTACATCCAGACACCAGAATGAGCTGTGTGTGGTAACAGGACACACCAGCTCTGCCCAGACTGACTGGCCAAGAGCACAAGTAGGGAAGAACAGAGCACAGAGATGACACTCATCTCCTCAACTGCCCTTAAATATCCTCTATGAAGAGGAGCACAGAGGCAACATCTGGGGAAGCTGTTACAGGTGTCTTACAATACACACAGACCGCAGGTTGAAGTGCTTCCCTCCCACAACAACATCCCCAAAACGGTGCAAAAATGGTCATCAGTTTGCATGTTCCGAATTCTTATCCAACACATTCCCTATGCCAGGCTGCAGCAGCACAGGGAACCGTCTCTGATAGGAAATATTCATAACTTCCTAGGACTTTGTGGCCATTTCAATACCACATACATTTTCAAGATCCAGAAGGCCTCCAACTCCACAACCTTGACACTTGAGAAAAGATCCTGGGCAAAACCACTTTATGCCCATCCTGCTTCCCACTTTCCTCTAGGCATCATCCTCCATTCCTCACTCTGCAACATTTATTCTCCAGAAAAGACCATCATCTCCCAGTCCCCTCTTCTTATGACAGGGACCATGGTCTTCCCAAGGATTTCCAGTTCCCTCGTGTACACAAGTCTTCCCACTGCTCAAGGGCACCTTTCACATCAGCACATGCACAGGCCCTACTCACTGTCACTGCCACATTCACCTCTGGCACAAGTCACAATCTCCCACCTCAAGCCTCAACTTTTGCTTACCCTCCCCAGCAACTAAAACACTGTAAAACCCACACAGGTGGCATCCCATGCCCGGTGTCCATCAGACTCTCTGCAGCTGATCCTTCGGGTCAGCAGTTTCAGAGGGAAATGTTACACACCTGTGAGTAACACTCGCTGCAGAGCTCTGCTCGGGACAGCTCTCATGGCAACGGGCACTGATGTCACAATAATAGAGAGACAGAACAACCCAGATGCTGAGGAGCACAGCAATGCAGTCCATTCCATCCCCTGGGTAGGAGAAATTGGCTGAGGGATTATTGTGTTCTTGCGGAAAACAGAATTTCCGTGGAAGCTGTATGGGTGCTGCTAATGTAAATATTGATAAAAATATCAAAACAAGTGAGTGTACACCAAGCCTCCTGTCCAGCCACAAACGCAGTTTCAAAACTACAGCTCACAAAAACGGGGGAAAAATAAACAGCCATGAAACCAATAATAAAGACACCAAACAAACTAAAACCCCAGGAAATCTCCAGAACCCCTTCCCAGTTTTCAAAATGACACGACTGGGAAAACCAAAATGGAGAAATTACGCCATGGAGATTGAAAATACGTTAAAGCACAAGCCCAAACTGTCACCCTACCTCACATGTCATGTAGAGGAGAATGTCAGAAGATGAGGACAGAAAAAAACCCACATGTGATACCACCACGGTCAGCAGTCAGCAAAGGCAATAAGGAAGAAGGCAGTACATAGGGCCTGGGGACTGACACCACCACAGCCTGTCCTGCACATCAAGCTCGGGTGCAAATGCTACACATCAGCAAGTTCTGTCTCCAAAACTCAAACGTCGAGGCAACACAGGTCAACTCTCATCACAATCAGCAGTGATTTCATTCTATGGAAGAATAATTCATATCCACAGCAGCAAATCTCTGCTGCGAACCCCAAGGGGTTACCGGGATACCTTTATCCAATACAGATAAAAAGGTACAATTAACATATTTAAGCACCTGTAAAGCAACCACTTCCACAAGCCAGGGGCGCGGAGCCCGGAGCCCGACAGGGCCGGCCCAGGGGGCGGGAGAGAAGGGGCAGAGGGAGGAGGGAACAAGTAGACGAGAGCAAGGGATTGTCACTGACCGTGTCGAGGAGAGCGGGAGGCTCCGGCTGCGTGTCCTTGGCCGCGGCGCCGGGCGGCGGCGGGAAGTTGGGGCTGAAAACCATCAGGTCGCTCTTGGCCGCGCCGTCCGCCACGCACAGGCTCCGGCTGTGGCGCTGCGAGTACGACCAGCTGCCCACTTCGCTGGCGCACACCAGCGTCGTGGGCCCGGGCCCCGACAGCACGGCCGCCCGCGGCGCCCAGCGCGACGCCCCGTACAGCACCACGGCCAGCAGGAACAGGCTCGACACGCCGCAGATCGCCACCACCAGCCACACGTTCGTCGCCGCCGCCGCCGCCGGCCCAGAGCCGCTCTCGCCGCCCGCCAACGAGCGCGGCAGCAGCGACGACGAGCCCGCCGCCGCCGCCAGCGCCGCCTCGCCGCCCTCCACCAGCGACACGCTCAGCGTCGCCGTGGCCGAGCGCGCCGGCTCGCCGTGGTCCCGCACCACGATCACCAGCCTCTGCCGCGGCCCGTCCGCCTCCTCCAGCGCCCGCGCCGTGCTCACCTCGCCGCTGTACAGCCCCACGCGGAACAAGGCGCTCTTGCCCCGCGGCTCCCACAGCTCGTAGCGCAGCCATGCGTTGTAGCCCGAGTCCGCGTCCACCGCCCGGATCTTCGCCACCACCTGACCCGACGGCGAACCCCACGACGCCCACGCCCACAGCGTCCCCGCCTCCCCCGACACGGACCCGGCCTCCGACCCGCCGCCCGCCGCCGGCAGCAGCGCCGGCGCGTTGTCGTTCTCGTCCACCACGAACAGCTGCACCGTCGCGTTGCCGCACAGCGACGGCTCCCCCGCGTCCACCGCACGCACCTCGAACTGCAGCACCTGCACCTCCTCGTAGTCCAGCGGCCGCAGCGCCCGCAACACGCCGCTCTCCGCCTCCACCGACACGTAGCTCGACGCCGCAACACCCCCCACCGAGCCCGACGTCCCCGACCCCCACGACCCCGACCCCCCGCCCAACGCGCCCTCCCACAACGAGTAGCTCACGCGCCCGTTGCCCGCCCCGTCCGGGTCCCGCGCCCACAGCCGCGCCAGCTCCGCGCCCGCCAAGTTGTTCTCCCGCGCCAGCACCGTGTACACCGCCTGCGCGAACGACGGCGCGTTGTCGTTCACGTCCGACACCGGCACGCGCAGCCCAACGCGGGCGCCCAGCGACGGAGAACCGCCGTCCTCCGCACGCACCTCCACCTCGTACTCCGACACCCGCTCCCGGTCCAGCAACTCCCGCAGCACCAGCGAGTACGACCCCGACAACGTCGCCTCCAGAACGAACGGACCCGACGGCCACACCCAGCACCGCACACGACCGTTCGACCCCGAGTCCCGGTCCCACACGCTCAGCAGGGCCACCACCGTCCCCAGCGACGCGTCCTCGGGCACCGGCACCGACAGCGACGTCACCCGCACCTCCGGCGCGTTGTCGTTCACGTCCAGCACCTCCAGCTCCACGCTGCAGTGACCCGACAGCGGGGGCGTCCCTTGGTCTCTCGCTTCTATACGGAAATCAAATATACTGACTTCTTCAAAGTCCAGAGCACCCGTCAGGTGAATCTCACCTGTCTTCGGATTCATGGAAATCACATCTCTTCCACTCGGCGGAATGAAGCTGGTTGCAGTGTAGGTCACTTCACTATTACTTCCTTCATCTGCATCTGTGGCGTTCACCCGTGCCACCAGCGTCCCCACTGAAGCGTTCTCTGGTAGTTGCACTTTATACACCGATTGGTTGAACTGGGGCGCGTTGTCGTTCGCATCCAGCACCGAGATCACCAGCTCCATCGTCCCTGTCAGAGATGGCCGGCCCCCGTCACTCGCCGTCAGCAACAACCGGTGCACCGGCATCGTCTCCCGGTCCAGAGGTTTCCTTAAAACAAGTTCGGGAACAATATTTCGCTCATTTGATTTTTGTAAATCCAAAGAGAAATGTTCGTTGGGACTCAGTGTGTAGGAGAGCTGCGCGTTCGCTCCAATATCTGCATCTGACGCGCCCTCCAGTGGGAAACGAGACCCCACCACAGACAATTCCGCGATGCTGATGTTTTTTCGGGCGGCGGGGAAGATGGGGGCATTGTCATTAATGTCGGTGACCTCCAGCTCCACGTGGAAGACGCGCAGCGGCCGCTCCAGCAGCACCTCCAGCCGCAGCGCGCACGGCGCGCTCTTGCCGCACAGCTCCTCCCGGTCCAGCCGCGAGCTCACCACCAGCGCCCCGCTCGCCCCGCTCACCTCCACGCTCGCCCGCCGGCCCCCAGGCACCAGCCGCAGCCGCCGCGCCTCCGCCTCGCCCGCCTCCAGACCCAGGTCCTGCGCCACACGGCCCACCACCGTCCCGGCCTTCGCTTCCTCCGGCACCGAGTACCGCACCTGCCCCCAGCACAGCGCCCACGCCGCCTGCACCGCCACCACCCGCAACACCGCACCCCACAAACACTCGCCCATCGCCGCCGCACACGACCAGTCCTTCCGACCCCGCACGGGCCCCGCACGGCTCCCGCCGCCGCCCGCACGCACCGGCTCCGCTGCCCGGCCCCAGCCGCCCCCCCGCGCTCACAGCCGGGCTCTCCGCCGCACCGCCAAGGAGCCGCCCACACGCCCTTCCTCAGCCTGCAGCGACACCGTGCGCTGCTCCGCCGCCTCACACGCTCCAAACAGCGCCCAAGCCTCTGCCCTGACACACGCATCTCCTCTGCCGGCTCCTCTCACCGTGCTGGTTTTTCTTTTACTTATTTTTCTTTATCGCCTGCTGTTTCCTTGCAAATATTTCTTTCTTTCCTTCTTCCCCTTTTCTCGTCTGACTTTCTTCTATTTTTTTCCTTCAGTTCCCTATACTGAATGGAGGCGGGAGGCGTTCTTTTCATGCTTTTTACCTCTTTGTATTCTGCTCTTCCCTCCTTCTCAAGTCTTCTTTCTTCATTTCCGTCTTTCTCGTTTTCCTCCTTTCCGTGTCGTGCCTTGTTCTTAATTTGTCTTCTCTCTCCATCCTTTTCTCTTCTTCAATCCCCCGGCAGTTCGCCCTTTGCCTGCGCTTCTGAGACCATCAAAGTCGGAGCCATCATCCCTAATTACGGGACGTCCGCTCCAGAGCGAGGTACTTTAACCGGGGCGGGGAGGCTGTAAGGGACCGACTCCGCTCGGTGCGTGCTGCTCAGGTCCTTTATAGTCTCTTCTGTTCTTCCATTCTTCCGTTCTTTCTTTCTTTCTGGATGGCTTTGGACTTGCATGGATTTCTTCCTTCCATTTAAATTTCTTTCATTTCCTTATGCTTTTTTCTTTTTCTCTTGCCTTTTCTTTCTTTCCTTGTTCACCTTCCCCGCGTCTTCTCTTCCCTGCTCTTAGATTCGCTGCTGGTTTTTTCTTCACCTCTTCTTCCATTTCCATCTTAGTCTCTATATTGTTATTTTCTTCCTCTACCAAAATACTTCCAAATGTGTACATCATGCTCACAACGAAGGACGTGCCTTTCTGAAAGGGCTCTCATTCTTCTCTTTGCCACAATTCCTCATATTCATTTTTTTTTTTTTAATTTCTTTTTTTTCCCCCCGACATTCTCCCCACTGGAACAGAAGCCCAAACCCCAGCTAAGGGGACATATAATTGAAAAAAATGCATCAAAGTTTACAAATAACCCCAGGGAATTTCTCAGTTGAGAAATCGAACCTATTACAGCCCAGCACACCAATCCTTCAGGAATGCTGCAAAAAGCACTGGGCAACCACAGCTGCTCAGAACTCCTTGATGAAGAGCTAGAGCTGTTCTTCATGACTCATGTTCTACCTGCACAGCCAACAAAATGCCACCAAGATAACACCACGGCATTGCCACTGAGAACATCTGCTGCATGCACGACACAGCTACTCCAACAAATCCATTAAGGTCACTTCTCCATGTGTCCTTGCTTCCACCTGCTCACCCTGTGCCAGGCAGCAGCAGAAAGGGAATGAGAGCTGGTAGTGGTGCTCCAAACCTACAGGCATTTCAATCCAGGCAACATTCAGCCAATCCAACAGGAAGACACCACAGCTGAACAGGAACCAAAGTTCACCTGTCTCTCACACACAGCCTCTACAGGTACCTGTTGCCTCAATGGTGTCATTTTCAGAAAAAGAAGCATTTTCAGAACAGGAAAACTGGGTTTAAGGGACATTTTCCCTTAATAATATGAGTAACTTTGGGGGATGCTGTACAGAAAAAACATACATTCACTAAGAGCTTGGAAATTACAGAAGAGCGTGTAGTGCTCCCTTTTGCACTTTTATCACAGGGGAAGCAGGAGGGACACCTGAACATCAGTGACATTCTCTCAACAGCAAACTCAGCTCAGGAGAGTAGAAAAACCTTCCCTGAGGCTGATGGATTACTGTTCAAGCACCTGCCACCTGATAGCTGCCAATATTCTGCTGTCTGCATGTCATCCACAGTTATCAACACATTGCCAATGTGAGAGAAGAAAAAAGGGTCAACGTTCTCACTCAGAGAAGAGGGAGGAGGAGGAGGAGGAGAAAACAAAGGGACCCATCCCACTGTACTGAAATGCCAGGCTTGACAATATCTTGAATACAGAGACAACTTCTTCCCTTCCCTAGCAACACCAAGACTACAGAAATGACTCAGGCAACATTCTGAGAAAGCTGGTACAATGATACAAGTTTCAAAAAGTTTTTGTTTGACCAACAACATTCCACAACAAAGAAAAGCAATTAAAGGCATATGCCTGCCATATGGCAGGTAACTTTAGAAGCAGTAACACCACAGAAAACAACAGAGCACAAGGAGATGCAGAGGTACTGGAGCTCCTGAGAGGATCCCAGGACAGCAGCCTTGTGTGCCAGGCCTTTCCTCAGGGTTTTCTATGGGCATCTCCTATCCTGTGCCATGGGAAATGAGATCTCCACATCTAAGCAGGCATTCTCCAATTCCTCCCCAATAACACAGACCGTGTCCTACCCAGCATCTCCATTTCCCTCAGACAACACTCCTCCCCACTCAAACTCACCCTCTCCATGACACAGGCCCAGGCCCTACTTGGAGCCATTCATAGGATCACTGCCAAGATAGCAAACATTGCTCAACTCCAGCAACAGGTCCCATCTGTAAAGCCCACTTTGCATATGATTCAGGCCTTAGCACCTCTTCATCTTCCCTCATGATCACCACAAAGGAAATATGAAGTATGTAAATACCACACAGCATCGGGCTGTGTCTTCCCAGCACCTGATCTTCACCAGGAATGCTTTGCTCCTTTTCAGCAATCTCACATGGACATAGCTCAGAGCTGCACATGACAGTTCTTACAGATTCTGTGATTAGAACTCTGATAGGGATCAGAACAGGACTGGGAGCAGTCCCCATGGATTTTGTTCTTCAAGAGAACCATATCAAATGCCAAAGCGCAAGTGGTCTCACAAGACCAACTGAGGCAAATTATATCACAAAAAAACAGAGCTGGGATGCTCTGCACGGTTTGATGTTTACCTGCACATATCAGAATGAGCCATGTCTGACAACAGGACACACCACCTCTACCACGTTCAACTGCACAAGGAGGGGAAGTCCAGTGCACAAAGATTTCACCCACCACCTCATTACACGCTCTGGGATAAGAACCAAAAAGCACAACAGCATAACAGATTGTATCAACTGTGTAGGAAAAATTGGCTTGGGTTTTGTTGGGAGAGGTGATTCTCTGGATTGTTTGTTTTCTTTTTTAAAAAATTATTTCCACGGCTTTTGAAATTATGCTGTTGTTGATATAAGTTTTGCTACAACATCAAAAGACTCAAGCATGTTTCATGCTACTTTTCTGGCTAGTAAAGTACATCCACAACCCAGGGAACAAAGAAAGCAGGAGAAGAAAATTTCACTTCCTAGCACTTCATCTTGGAGAACACGCCTCTCTCTGAACACATTACAATGCTAAGGAGAGCAACAAGATACTCAGGAAGAGACCATAAGAAAGGTTCACCACATCTTCCCAAGTTTCATAATGACTCTAGTGGTAGAACCAAATCGGACAGCTTATATTTCCACAGGCAGACAAAACCCTGAAGTCACAATTTTCACCTTGCATAACAGCAGAATCAAAGAGGAGGTAGTCAATTTTCAATAACAAACAACACCCAAACTGTTCAAGACTGTCGAGCAGTGCCTGGAGAAGTGTTGAAGCATTCCCTTCCCACAACACCTTTTTGGAAACAAGCAGTCCATCAGACAACATTCAACACTGCATCTCACCAGCTCTTACATACACACGGCCTACATAAGGAAGGCAGCAGCAGCAGCAAAAGGAACTGTCTCTGGTGGAAGGTGTTCATAACCCCAAAGGACATTGTGGACATTTCCATTTTCACACACTCTCTCATGACCAGGGAGGTCTCCCACTCCAGACCCTTAGAGTCTGGAAAAGATCCTCAGCAAGAATGCTCTGTTCCACTCCTGCCTCACCATAACCCATTCCTCCAGGAATCCTCTGCTCCCCACTGAGACAGAAGATGAGGACAGAAAAAAACCGACATGTGATACCACCACGGTCAGCAGTCAGCAAAGGCAATAAGGAAGAAGGCAGTACATAGGGCCTGGGGACTGACACCACCACAGCCTGTCCTGCACACCAAGCTCGGGTGCAAATGCTACACATCAGCAAGTTCTGTCTCCAAAACTCAAACGTCGAGGCAACACAGGTCAACTCTCATCACAATCAGCAGTGATTTCATTCTATGGAAGAATAATTCATATCCACAGCAGCAAATCTCTGCTGCGAACCCCAAGGAGTTACCGCGATACCTCTATCGGATACAGATGAAAATGTACAATTAACATATTTAAGCACCTGTAAAGCAACCACTCCCACAAGCCAGGGGCGCGGAGCCCGGAGCCCAACAAGGCTGGCCCAGGGGGCGGGAGAGAAGGGGCAAAGGGAGGAGGGAATAAGTAGACAAGAGCAAGGGATTGTCACTGACCGTGTCGAGGAGAGCGGGAGGCTCCGGCTGCGTGTCCTTGGCCGCGGCGCCGGGCGGCGGCGGGAAGTTGGGGCTGAAAACCATCAGGTCGCTCTTGGCCGCGCCGTCCGCCACGCACAGGCTCCGGCTGTGGCGCTGCGAGTACGACCAGCTGCCCACTTCGCTGGCGCACACCAGCGTCGTGGGCCCGGGCCCCGACAGCACGGCCGCCCGCGGCGCCCAGCGCGACGCCCCGTACAGCACCACGGCCAGCAGGAACAGGCTCGACACGCCGCAGATCGCCACCACCAGCCACACGTTCGTCGCCGCCGCCGCCGCCGCCGCCGGCCCAGAGCCGCTCTCGCCGCCCGCCAACGAGCGCGGCAGCAGCGACGACGAGCCCGCCGCCGCCGCCAGCGCCGCCTCGCCGCCCTCCACCAGCGACACGCTCAGCGTCGCCGTGGCCGAGCGCGCCGGCTCGCCGTGGTCCCGCACCACGATCACCAGCCTCTGCCGCGGCCCGTCCGCCTCCTCCAGCGCCCGCGCCGTGCTCACCTCGCCGCTGTACAGCCCCACGCGGAACAAGGCGCTCTTGCCCCGCGGCTCCCACAGCTCGTAGCGCAGCCACGCGTTGTAGCCCGAGTCCGCGTCCACCGCCCGGATCTTCGCCACCACCTGACCCGACGGAGAACCCCACGACGCCCACGCCCACAGCGTCCCCGCCTCCCCCGACACGGACCCGGCCTCCGACCCGCCGCCCGCCGCCGGCAGCAGCGCCGGCGCGTTGTCGTTCTCGTCCACCACGAACAGCTGCACCGTCGCGTTGCCGCACAGCGACGGCTCCCCCGCGTCCACCGCACGCACCTCGAACTGCAGCACCTGCACCTCCTCGTAATCCAGCGGCTGCAGCGCCCGCAACACGCCGCTCTCCGCCTCCACCGACACGTAGCTCGACGCCGCAACACCCCCCACCGACCCCGACCCCCCCGACCCCCACGACCCCGACCCCCCGCCCAACGCGCCCTCCCACAACGAGTAGCTCACGCGCCCGTTGCCCGCCTCGTCCGGGTCCCGCGCCCACAGCCGCGCCAGCTCCGCGCCCGCCAAGTTGTTCTCCCGCGCCAGCACCGTGTACACCGCCTGCGCGAACGACGGCGCGTTGTCGTTCACGTCCGACACCGGCACACGCAGCCCAACGCGGCCGCCCAGCGACGGAGAACCGCCGTCCTCCGCACGCACCTCCACCTCGTACTCCGACACCCGCTCCCGGTCCAGCAACTCCCGCAGCACCAGCGAGTACGACCCCGACAACGTCGCCTCCAGAACGAATGGACCCGACGGCCACACCCAGCACCGCACACGACCGTTCGACCCCGAGTCCCGGTCCCACACGCTCAGCAGGGCCACCACCGTCCCCAGCGACGCGTCCTCCGACACCGGCACCGACAGCGACGTCACCCGCACCTCTGGCGCGTTGTCGTTCACGTCCAGCACCTCCAACACCCCCTTGCAGTGACCCGACAGCGAGGGCGTCCCTTGGTCTCTCGCTTCAATACGAAAATTAAATACATT